TAATTACATATTTTAAACAGATAATAAAAAATCCCAATATACAGTATATACACCTCCACCTTTGCCATGAGAATAAAATTAAATTTATTCACGTCTAGCCAACATTTTTCTGTTTATTACTCGATATGAAATACAACATAATAATTGCCATAATCTTTAGTCTAGCTATTAGCCTTGTTATGTCCCCTATTAAAAGTAAATACTTTAAAAAAATACTTTGGCAGGCCGTCCATAACACGTGGCTTTCACTTATTCTAAGATTTTTTATTCTGTCTAATAATCCTCTACGTGGATCATTGGGAGATCTAAGACCTAATATTTTTGCAACCATCTGAATAAGTGGACCACCTTCATAGAAAGCGGTAGCACTTATTTCATTATGCCCATTGTAGGACGTATTTACGGCTATGTAAAAACAGAGTTGCGGTTGCGAATTACGGGTTGTGATTAGTAAGATCTAGTTGCGGCCACATCTCTAGTAATACCCCTGCCAAGCAACTATACCCGATGTAGCTCCGTGCGAAGTATAAAATGAATTACGTACAGTAGGTGGAACTGGATTGCAANAATATTATATAGTGCATATATATTACACTAGACGGAATTAAAAAAAAAAATTATTATCGTCATCCTATATCCTTTTATCCGGATTTTACAAATCTACTAACAGATATTGCAATTTCAACAAATATTCATTGAATATCCAGCTCAATCAGCAATTGACTTGTTAGTTATGTTAGATACTAATCAATTATTACCGTATAAGGGGTATAATACAAATTTCGGAAGGCTGACCCTTATACCCCCCTCTATTGCGTGAGTTTTTATTATTAATGGAGGAAGTTTAAACCTATATAACAATTGAGGCCTTATACATGTAACACCTGGGATATTTATTATATTATTTAGATAATAAGGTCGTTGTTTTTTGCAGGGTACTGTGCATGGAAGGAACTGTGGCCCGCAAAATACGGTAATAAACAGTTCTAATATATGGTTATTATTAAACCATCATTTTTCGTAATTTGAATTCGGGAAAATGTCATGTCGGGATTTTGTCTTTCGGGATATTGTTCGTCGGAATAATGTCATGTCGGGAAAATGTATTATTCGGGAAAATGTCCATTCGGGATTTTGTCCTGTCGGGAAAGCGTTGTCGGGAAAAGGTTACGTCGGGAAAATGGATGTCGGGAATCGGTCCGACAACGATTTTTAAATAACGTATTATAGACCTTTAGTAACCTTTTGCTTTTAAGCTTTATTCTGTTTATTTTAATTAAGTATATAGTAAAGTAGTATGATATAATAAGCAAAATATAAATCATATATAGGTACCAATCATACTGAAATACCAAGGAAATAAGGAATCAAAATATCACATACCCTTTGGGTATGATTAACGTTATGATATGAAGTGAAAGGTACGGTATGATTAATAATGTACAACAGGTACGAATAGACATGATCTAATTAATGTTGTTGTTGAGTTAATATTGATGTTACGATTGATCTATTTGATTTCAAATTTAGTTGAATTCAATTGAATTGTATCATTAGAATTTGATCCATTTGTAGAAAAATTTATTATTGTAAAAGGATTGATAAAAGAGTTCTATTATTACCAAGTTTCATAAATTTAGATGGCAATATTCTGCATGTTTAAAAAAAAAATATATATATAAATGCATAATATCAAATGAATTTTTATACAATGAATAAAGAAAGTAGGTTTGACAGCTTTATTAAATAGTACATAATGAATTATTATTTTTGGAAATTTCAATCAATTCATATAGGACTCCAGATTTTACAATCTTCTCATCTAAAGCCTGCGCGAACATCCGAGAAAAGTCTGCATTACTTCCCCTGACGAATAATCTGAACTATGCTTCATCACAAAAATAAAAAAAAAGTCGATTTTTTTTAGAATATATCGATATATATATAGAGAGAGAGAACTTTTTACTACGTTAGGTTAAATATAATTATTCAAATGAATATGCAATTTATTTAGATAATCAAATTTTTATATTGGCCACTTAAGACAATAAATTATTTATTATATTGTAAATAAATGCATTAAATGCATTCAATTAATTAATTAATTAAACAATGAGTTCTTTTTATAAAGATATGATTATTTTTATTATAAATTTCTCTTTTTATTATAAATCATCAATCATCACAATAGAATTTCTTTATAAATTAGATAAAAAACCAATAAACTCACAAAATTTTTTTAATTATTACAACAAATATTATAGCAAAAAACCTAACAAAATGCCTTCTTCAGTCACCGTTTTTTATGTCAGATTAGATCAAAAGGCCAAGATGGAAGATTTATTAGTGGTTAGCAAGTTATACAATCGAAACAGGAAAATCCAATGTTTTCCATTATGGCTTTTTATAAAAAACAAATATTTATATGATATTAAGGTAATATTATGAGGAAAATGTGTTTTTAATCGCGGAATTATGTAATCCATACCCTTATTTGATTAGTCATAAGATTTAATTCCTATTTTGAAACGTTACTCACATAAAACTATTAAAAAGCTCCCTGTTATGTTAAAGTATTAGGGTTAGGATTAGGGTTAGGATAAGTTATAGGATAAGTGGATTAGGAGTCGGTGAAATAAAAATGACTGTCGGTAAATGATCCTTTCAGTAAAATGATTGTCGGTGAAATGAATTATCGGATCATGGTTGTTACTAATTTTATTTCTGGAGACCGGAACACACTATAAAAAATTTTATCCGCTATTTCTGTAAAAAAAGTTCCGTAAAATGAGCCTTTCACGGAGGCATTCACGGAAAACATAAATAGTCCGATAAATTTCCATGATATAAGGTTATTAATTCCGCGAATATGAAATAGAATATAAAACACGGATCAACTCACTTGATCAGAATTTTTTTCTGAGCCACAATGCATGAACTCTTGTGCGACAATATAAATATTATTCCCCGAATGGGATGAGTTGACCATTATTTAGTGCGAAATGTAACTGCTGTTACTAATATCACCATTATTTACGTAATTAAGTATTTAATAGAATTTTATTATTATTATTTATTTATCAATTAATTCTCGCCCATGATTTTAAATTTAAAACCGAAAACATTACCAAATTCGGTTATGAAGTAAAATTTTTCATTATTTTCTTGGTCGTACGAGTTATGCAGATAAATCGTGTAACATTGTGTTGACGTAATAAAATGCCATTTAATTTAAACGACCTATAAGAATTCTTTGAAATTAAAATTATTTTAAGAATTAAAAAATATTTTATAGAGGTTCACATGTACTGTAGTGTTGATTTAATTAGTTTCCAATTAACGCATCCCTAGTTCGCAAAAGTGCTAAATTCAGTGATAAAAATCTTCAAGAATGAAAGAACATTTTATAGAATTCATTTTTTCCTAGATGTGTAGTGTAAGAGAATCAAGTACGCTCCATTCTAACTTTCATTTAACGGAGATTAAATCACATCATGCGCATCATGCGCATGACTCAGTGGTAATTACATATTTTAAACAGATAATAAAAAATCCCAATATACAGTATATACACCTCCACCTTTGCCATGAGAATAAAATTAAATTTATTCACGTCTAGCCAACATTTTTCTGTTTATTACTCGATATGAAATACAACATAATAATTGCCATAATCTTTAGTCTAGCTATTAGCCTTGTTATGTCCCCTATTAAAAGTAAATACTTTAAAAAAATACTTTGGCAGGCCGTCCATAACACGTGGCTTTCACTTATTCTAAGATTTTTTATTCTGTCTAATAATCCTCTACGTGGATCATTGGGAGATCTAAGACCTAATATTTTTGCAACCATCTGAATAAGTGGACCACCTTCATAGAAAGCGGTAGCACTTATTTCATTATGCCCATTGTAGGACGTATTTACGGCTATGTAAAAACAGAGTTGCGGTTGCGAATTACGGGTTGTGATTAGTAAGATCTAGTTGCGGCCACATCTCTAGTAATACCCCTGCCAAGCAACTATACCCGATGTAGCTCCGTGCGAAGTATAAAATGAATTACGTACAGTAGGTGGAACTGGATTGCAAAGTGACAGTTCATATGCTCGATTGGGTAGCAGAATACAACCTAACATTCTGGGTCGATTCTTCAACTCAAGGAACTAACAGGGATACCGAATGGAAATTCAGTGATAGTGTAGATGATTGGAGCTTAAAACAGCTAGCTTAGTAATATCTCCCCTTTATCTCTTTAACTAAAAAAATAATTTAATTTTACTAAGATGTGTCACCCCACCTGTAGCTGTTTATGAGATACAGTATATTTTATTTTATTTTTTTTTTTTTGTATTTTTTTTTTTTTTTT